AAATACAGCCTAAGTTTTTCAGCACATAGCCTACTCTAAAAAAGTATGAGGAATAAAATGGTGTTTCTCTCTCTCTCTCAAAAAAAGAAAAGAATGTTCTTGTACTAGACATTAATCACGTATAAAACTCACATTGTTTGAAGCAGAAGGTAAAGCTTTTGTTGGAGCATTTTTTTTTTCATCTGTTTTCCGTTTTAATCAATGGTCTGCTTTTTTTAATGACATACGATATGCACAATAAAATGGTGTTTCTTTCTCTCTCTCAAAAAAAGAAAAGAATGTTCTTGTACTAGACATTAATCACGTATAAAACTCACATTGTTTGAAGCAGAAGGTAAAGCTTTTGTTGGAGCATTTTTTTTTTCATCTGTTTTCCGTTTTAATCAATGGTCTGCTTTTTTTAATGACATACGATATGCACGAAGCATGTTGGACTTGACAGGATCAGTCACCGGTGGCAAGTGTGCTGATACATCAAGGATACCACCTTTTACCCTGACAATTCTGCAAACTCAGGAGGCCAATTAACACCTGCACATTGAGGGCCGGGAGAAGCGCGCCGGAATCCTCCCTCGTGAGCAGAAGAGAGCAGCGCGCGTGGCTGAGAATGGAAAAGCGCGGGAAACTCGCAGGTGAAGTTCTCCTCAGGGTAATTGTGGCGGGACCTCAGGCGAGATTCGGCTGAAGCGATGCGTTTTCTCTCTCTTTCCGCCTTTGTTTGTGCTTTTTTTCTCGGTTGTTTTCCCCAATGTGGTTCGAATTAAGTCACATGAATTAAATATTAAACGTACATCAGAAAATATTCATTTAAAGGTAAGATTTATGTCTAGGGATCTGTCTCAACTCAATTGATATTCTTCGGACTGATGGTTAATACATATTCATTCATCAAAACAATCATTAAATGAAATGAGGTGTAGGTACTGAGATTTCCTTCTGTTAGACACTTTGATTTTGGTTTTAAACTAAATGAGTAAGCGCATCTGTAAGGGATAATACAGTAGTATGCATTATCAATAGCCTATATTATACCTTATCAAAATACATATATCAAAACTGCATTATCCCTACAGCTACTTATTAATAAATTTATGTAAATTAAATATGTATTATTTCCTTATTGTACAAGGCAAAATATGCATAAAATATTTTATTTACCAGGTGAGTGCACAGCTCCTAGTGCTTCCTAGGACAATGGTCATTATTCAGAAATATTTGTTCAGGGAATTTGACCAAGTTTGATCAGAAAAGAAAGCATATTCTAATCATTAAGATTTAAAAGAATGCTAAAACGTGGAAAAAATAGCTATATAAGTGAGCATTACATATGTCATAATTTCAGTTTCACATTGTATAATAGTATATTAAGTTTATATATAATAAAACATTTAAGGTGGTGTTTAAAATGTTTTTCACTGTCTGCAGGTTCATATTAATATCCTCATCACATCACTACAGACCCACGACAGAAATCTGAGGAAACAAAGAGACAAACCAGGACAGGTGAGACATTGTTCAGTTCGGTTGTCTTCTCTATCCTAAAATCTGACGTGGTGTGAGTTGACATGGAGGAGCCATTGTGTCCCATAAAAAGACATCTCAAGACCCTCTGCTCTTTGGATAGAATGTAAATAAGATACTGGGGAATGTACTGGGAGAACGGCATCGGGGGGTGAACACCGGCAGCCGGGTCGCCATCCATCACGTCGACTCAGGCCTGGTGCAGTGGACAAGCTCGGCACAGGCCAAGAAACCTGAGCCACTACAAGACAAACACATGCTCCCTCCAAAATAACAATGGGCTCCAGTGACACGCTGCCTGCTGTCAGAGCTTCACCGCAGGCTCACGACACCTGACATTGTTATATTGAGCGTGTAGTGTTACCAGACCCACAGTGAGAACAGGCCAGCCTGCTCGTACGAAAGAATGAATGCCAAAGATAATCGCAAGTGAAAACTTTAGGAGACAATCCTGTGTTCTTTTTAGGCAGGAGCTTGCGATGTGGAAACTTAGAAGAGTAACAAATAGGGACAATGAGAGCAATGTCAGATTGAGTGACAAGACGCTATAAAGACGGTAATAATGTTACAAAATATTTTTGATTCAAATAGATTGTGTTCTTTTGAACATAATTGTATAAATAAAATAATTGTAAATAAAAAAAGGTGACACTTTAGTATAGGGACAAATTCTCACTATTAACTAGTTGCTTATTAGCATGCCTATTATTAACATATTGGCTGTTTATTAGTACTTATAAAGCACATATTCTGCATGACCAAATTCTACATCTCTAATCCTACCCATTACCTAAACTTAACAACTACCTTACTAACTATTAAGCAGCTAATTAGGAGTTTATTGAGGCAAAAGTCATAATTAATAGTTTGTTAATAGCGACAATTGGACCTTAAAATAAAGTGTGACCAAAAAAGGAAAAAAGATTATTAGGGTAAATTTTACAATAATTATTTTATTATTATTTATTATTTTGGTGTTTCTACTTCAAAATTTCAAGTTTAATTCAATGTGTACCTTGCCATTTCTTTGTCATTATTTTTTAGATTAACTAGCTATTTCTAAATGAAACTTGTGGCAACGTAATTTTTTTCAGTGTATTCCCAAAAAATCCCAAAAAATGGTTTTCACAAATATATTAAATAAATATTAAATCAGCGTATTAGAATAATTTCTGAAGGATCATGTGACACTGAAGACTGCAGTAATAATGCTGAAAATTCAGCCTTGCCATCACAGGAAAAAAAATTACATTTTAAAATATTACAATAGAAGACAGTTTGTTTGTAAATTGAAATAATATTTCACAATATTACTGTTTTTACTGTAGCTTTGACCAAATAAATGTACCCTTGGTCATCAGCCATTACTCCAGTCTTCATTGTCACATGATCCTTTAGAAATTATTTTGATTTATTAACAATATGCTGATTTATATCAATGTTGGAAACTGTTGTGCTGCTTATTAATTGTTTTGATAACTGAAATACTTTTTCAATTAAAGTATTTGTTTTTTGTTCAATTCTCTTGGCCAAGGAACTTTTTGCCCGTTAATTACAAGACTGCAGCTAGACGCTGATGTAAATGTGTGGCTCCGGTGCCACATCCATACCCTCACAGTAACACATGAGCACTTCAGCCAGACCCTGTGGGCGTTTCCGAAGCCATTCCCATAGATTTTCCTGTTCATCCACCCCCATCATACTTCAGTGTGTGTGTCTGTTTTGGGGGATGTGGGGAAAGGTTCTTTAGGGTCCCTCAGTGCTAAGCCGCTGAAGTCCTCACAGCTGCACCGTGAGACTGTAGATTTACAGGTGCCATTGACCCTTTCATCAGAGGAAGTCGACTCGGCCGGCTGTTCCTCTCTCTTTCCAGTAGAGGCCAAGAATCTTTGATGAGTCTTAGTTAAGGGCACAACTTACTACTAACCGAATTCTCTGAACTTATGCAGCTAGTGAAAGGGTTTCTTGTTTCAATCATCAACACAACTATTCCGGAAGATCCAATTAACCCACAAAGCTTTATTTTAAAGCACGTTATTATGCTAATAAATGAGAACATGTTCCTTGTTAAAAAAGGGAGAAGTTGTGAAATTCAACTTTGCCTTGAAATGGTAAAAAATTGTTCAGGTCGCAGAATGAATAAAATGTGAAAGACAACGGTCACGTTCGCTACTGTGAGGGAGCGAGAAACGAGGAGACCAGGAGTACATCAACAAGGAGATTTTAATAATATAATCCAACACAAGGGAACCAGGAAAACACACGTAGCTGATGAGGTTGACATAAACAGACATTCACAAAACAAGGAACACAGTCTGACATTACTCCCCCCTCCCAGAAGGCGCGTCCCGTGCCGTACAACATCCAATGGGGAGGGGGGGTGGGCACTCTGGAGGCCTCTATG